ATGCCAGAGGACCCTGAGGGGACATGGGGACGCTCTGGGAACGTGGGGGTGGCAGGAGGACCCCAAGGGGATGTGGGGACCCCGAGGGGACATGGGGACCCTCTGGGGACATGGGGATGCCAGAGGACCCTGAGGGGACATGGGGACTCTCTGGGGACATGGGGATGCCAGGAGCACCCCAAGGGGATGTGGGGACACCCTGGGGATGTTGGGGGTGGCAGAAGGACCCCAAGGGGACATGGTGATCTTCTGGGGACACGAGGGTGACAGGAGGACCCTGTGGCGATGCAGCTCCCTGGAAGGACCCTGAGGGGACATGGGGACCCCCTGGGGACATGGAGATGCCAGGAGGACCCCAAGGGGACATGCGGGTGCCCGGAGGGTCCCAAGGGGACGTGGTGACACCCTGGGGACATGGGGATTCCAGGAGCACCCCAGGGGGATTTGGGGACCCCCTGGGGACACAGAGATGCCAAGAGGACCCCAAGGGGACATGGGGACCCCAAAGGGATTTGGGGACTCCCTGGGGACATGGGGACGCCAGGAGCACCCCAAGGGGACATGGCGACCTTCTGGGGACATGGGGATGCCAGGAGCACCCCAGGGGGATTTGGGGACCCCCTGGGGACACAGAGATGCCAAGAGGACCCCAAGGGGACATGGGGACCCCAAAGGGATTTGGGGACTCCCTGGGGACATGGGGACGCCAGGAGCACCCCAAGGGGACATGGCGACCTTCTGGGGACATGGGGATGCCAGGAGCACCCCAAGGGGATTTGGGGACTCCCTGGGGATATGGAGATGCCAGGAGGACCCCAAGGTGACGTGGGGACCTTCTGGGGACATGGGGATGCCAGGAGCACCTCAAGGGGCCGTGGGGACACCAGGAGCACCCCAAGGGGACATGGGGACCCCAAAGGGATTTGGGGACTCCCTGGGGACATGGAGATGCCAGGAGCACCCCAAGGTGACATGGGAACCTTCTGGGGACATGGGGACACCAGGAGCACCCCAAGGGGACGTGGGGACCCCAAAGGCTTTTGGGAACTCCCTGGGGACACGGAGATGCCAGGAGGACCCCAAGGTGACATGGGGACCTTCTGGGGACATGGGGACACCAGGAGCACCCCAAGGGGACGTGGGGACCCCAAAGGGTTTTGGGAACTCCCTGGGGACACAGAGATGCCAGGAGGACCCCAAGGTGACATGGGGACCTTCTGGGGACATGGGGAC